AAAAATATCGAACCAATTTTCCTTTTTGTACGTTTTTTTTTTCTTTGTTTTGTTAAAAAACCTGCCCATTAGATAATTATTCCAAGAAATGTTTTACCTGATTTATGCATGATTTTGATAATATTAAAAAAACAATAATGTCAGTTTTATTTAAATCAAGATGTTTCGGGGAATACATCCTTACATACATTTATATTTTAGTTTACGTCTAATCACGATGCATTCTGAGTACTTGAAGCAGATATTTAGGTAGATCTTTTGTAATAAATAAGACATGACTATGTAAGAGTTATCTCTCTTTTTTAAAATTTAATCAATGCATCACAACAGAAAAAAAAACACCTAGCGATCAATCTTGGTGATACGTATATCTCGAGAGAGGAAATCTTTTGCATTTAATTAATGTAATAGTGAGATAGAAATGATTCAATCTGTGATGCACTATAAGTGTAGTCTTACACGTAATAAATGAAATTAACACGATATATTTATTGATGCCAACTAAAAATTAATCTCCTGTTATATTCCTGAATCAATTAAGGGGATAACAATCATGCAAGAAAAACTAGGAATAATTGCAATTGCTTTTAGATAGAATTGAAAAATTAGAACTTTAATGAGGGTCATGCGTCTGAAAATACGTAACATTAAAAAGCCTCTGAAAACATTACGCAAACCAATCTTAGAACGGCGCTGAGATTTAATTAAAATTTTCTGTCCTGCGAATTTCATTGCGGAATATATCATATCAATGCACGAAGAGCATTCTTTGAAGTATATCAGTGTTTAGGGAATTCACCCACCCATGGAAAAAAAACGCTAAAATCTCCATGTTTTTTCTCAGACTGAGTTGAGATTGCGAATATCTCAAAACGGTGGAAAGACATATTTAAAGATGCATCAGTAGATAGCTAATCATTGCAATAATTAAACTCCCCAGGATGTCGAAATTTTGTTGCTTAATCTGATTAATACATTATTCCGTTATTGTCGGTAATGACTATTTGCAGTGCCGCGCGCTCTTTGGGAGGCGAGTCCTGACGGCGTCATTTGCCCATTGCAGACAATACCGGCGATAAAACTATTCCCCCTTTTCAAATGTTTCTTTTTTTTTGGTTAATGAACCAAACGTCACTTACAAAGAAATGATATTTATATCAGAAGAAAGCAGTGTTTTTCTTTTGCTCGTTAAAGCCTTTGACGGTGATTTGTGTCTTAATTTTGAGAAGTTTGGCATCGTGTCTCGTTAAAATTTCAAATTAACGAGAAAACTTTTATAATTTGCACTAAGAAGAGGAAACTCGAAATTAATTAAGCTATAAACAAGTTAATCTGTATGAACTTGTTTTATAAAAACAACTGTCTGAGTTGGATGCGCCAAAACGATTTCATAATTCAAGAGAAAATGCTTATGATTTTTCTTCAGAACCCATTCAACAAAAGAAATAAAAGATTACCATTCAACCTTTGTTAAGTAATTGAAGTCACGCCCACTTTTCAAATGAGATAATAAACTTTTATGATATAAAGCTTAAAAGGGCTTTACCAGAAAAGATTCAATGCAAAAAGAGGTCGTTAGGCGCGATTTTTATCGGTAATGTACACTGGCTCGACACGATACGAATTCCGATCTACATGTACATCGTGTTCGCTTTTTCTTTGAAGATCGTCATTTTTAAGGGTGTTCGGGGTCAGGCACATTATATTTAGAAATTCCTCTTACTAATATTCGCAACATATGTATATTTTTCCTACGTGATATATTTTTTTTTTAAATTATCTTGCAAATATATCTAGAAATTGTCAAAGGACAGATGATACATCTACAAGCTAAAAATCAATATCTTGACTGACATCTGGTTTTTGTTTTGTTTTTTTTTTGTTTTTTTTTTTGTTTTTTTTTTTTTTGGTTGTAAATGCTTCAAATTTCTATATTAAACAGTTGTAAATTTTCTACGATCTTCAAAATTCTACCTTTCTGCAATAATCCAATTATGAAACTGCAAAATAGTTTTTTTTTTCTTAAAGCCATGTAAGCCATAACTGAGCATTAATAAGCATTTTATCTTGTCAAAGAAATGGAAAATCATGTTTCATTTCATGACATCAAATGAAATAATGGGGGGGGGAAGTTGCTTGATTTGAGTATATTTAGATGCAATGTAAAAGGATCCGAAAGCAGGATTTTTCAAAAATATTTTTGTGTCATCAAAGATTGGAATTAGTTTTATTTTTTCCTTCTTCTCTTTATCTACTTTAATATATAAAATAGACACATCATCATAAAACGAACACGAATTAATGTTGTTTTTTTTTTTGTTGTTTAAACTGTACCAAAATTAAATTTTTCTTCATCACGAATTTTTGAACTAAGGAGACTAATTCACTTTCATTGCGGTTTTTTTTTTTTTATGTGTGTGTGAGACCTTGACTTAAAATATGCTTTGCATTCTCCTTGGAATGGTAAGAAATATTTCTCAATTAAAGAAGACATGCATACATATGAATATTTTAATTAAAAGATAACTCTCCTGGCACGTGACGCATCAAAGACTCCACTAAAACCCGCAAAACACATCCTGGTGGACGCAGACCCTATATCTCCACCTGAAATAATATCTTAAAAGAAAAACGATGTTATTTCTGGTTCGGTTTGATACTTTGTATTGCCAAACGAATAATTAAAACACAATCTAACATGAGGCAAAAAGAAAGTTGAAGTGACTCTGATAAATCGGAAGGTCTTTAAAGTGCATGGGTCGATGGACGACCAGACATACGATGCGCAGCCACAGAGGACATGTGGCGTTAATTAGCCACCGTCGTGAAGTCCGTGTACTCTGCCAATTTCAATAAAGCTTAATTCGAACCATTTTCTGTCGATTTATTTACACACATGTCTGTTTGTGTAAAATTCGCTTTTCGTTTGATTAAAATCCAGTCCGGACAAGTGAGTACTACTTTTACATGTTGCCGAAGACTGGACGTTTGGGTTGTTTTTCTCAAAGACCAGATGAAAGATATAATTGAGTTCTTCTTAAGTATCATCCTGGGATTCCAAATAAATGAAAATGTTAATTGATTAAATGTTCTGCTGTGTATACATAAAACAAATGCCGATATCTTGTACTTAAAATAAAATATTGATGTTTCATTTGAATACATCTTCAAAGACCCTTAACTTTTTACAAATTCTTCGGATATTACAAATATATTGAGATGACATTGATATTATTTTATATGAGGAATTATCTAGTACTGTAGAATTTTAAAGTTTTTAATTCATTTAGGACATTTTTATGGATCGCGTAAATATTGTACATAAAATCTTATCTTACACAACAAAGTATAATGACTCAGCAAGAAATAAAGCATTTTGGTTAGAAAATGAAATATTATAATGGAAATTATTTTAAAATACTTTTTCAATCAATAATCATTAAACATATGAGTAACATAAACGCTGTTTGCTTTATAAAGTGGTGTGTTTAGATCATGTTTGAAAGTTTCATTCGAAACTTAAACAAACCAACACTTCTATTTAAAATTATTATGTCATCGCAAAAAAAGTTTTATCTTCAGAAAAAATAAATAAAGTTATTTTATTTATTTGTCAGGTTTGGTTTCAAAACCGTCGTGCCAAGTGGAGAAAGAGGGAGCGGTTTGGTCAGCTGCAGGGAATGAGAGCGATGACGGGCGGATCCAATCCTTACGACTTCCAGCTCACTCCAAGACACGATGCTTATTCACAGGTAATTAACCCTACCTGTAAATAATTTTTTTTTTTTAAGCAAACATCTTTTCAAAGATTTGCTTTTTCTTTGGCAAAATTTTCACTTTTTGAATTTTGTAAAGCGCGTGTTTTAACTAATGCGGAAATGAAATGACAATAGTTTTTGATTTTCAAAGCTAGGCAAATAATGTATACCTTTTACAACGAAACAATTAGTTTAAATGATTTTGATAAAAAAAATTGCAATGATTTTATATTCATTTTTAGCATATTTGAAATATCCAAACCAGCGAATCTAGTCCTCTGGACTCGTAACAACTGTTCTATGAAATTTTTTGATAAAACTAATCATTTTTTCCAATAAATGCAATGCTATTTTTTTCACATTTTTAGCTTCAACACAACCCCTGGGCAGCATCCCCTCAAATTCCCTATTCCATGCAAAATTCCAACTGCATGGCATCACAGTCCACGGTCCCAAATTTTATGGGATTAGCACACCCTAGTCATTTGTCGTCATATCCTGTCAGTCATCAACCTTCGATGTCACTTCCGGTGTCACAGTCACCACCACTTGATCCCTGCGAAAATTCAGAAAGAAGAAGCACTAGTATTGCCGCTCTCAGACTTAAAGCTCATGAACACGGAGTAGCCATGGGCATATTTGGTGCGTACGGGAAATGACTCTAATTGTGGGGGAAAATACAAACATTATTAAATTGATGCCGAGGACTTACATTGCTACGTAAGTGTAAATAGATGTTGTTTGGAATGTGCAAAAGACTTTTTTAAAAATCTTTCACGAACAATACTGCTGTCTTTTCCTGTATATTTGTGCAGAAATTTATGCCACTGTGCTATTGAATGGATTATACTGTATTTTGTATATATAAAAAATATTAATCTCATTCTTCTTTACCATGTTGTGTTTCACGCGTCGGGTCTTGATTTTTTTTTTCTTTTTTGTTATTGGTTTTAATATCTACAAGAACATTTAGTGTTTGATGACGATGGAACGCAAATACCAAAAAGATATTAAAGAGATACGCCCATTTTACCTTATTTCAAAACCATTAATGTTCCCAATACCGATACACGTTAAATTGATAAGAAAGCACGTAATTCATAGTAATCACATTCAACTGGAAAATGGGTCAATGCACTATATTACTTCTTTTCTTCAAAATTATCAACTGCGAACCATCTTTCTGTTGCAACAGAAGCGTGTTTTTTATCATGACATAAATAAATAATAATGCTACAATCATCGATCAGTTAAGTTTTTTTTACATGAATAATTCTTTCATGGAAATAGAATTATTACTATGCATTTTATAATAAACTTGTTTTTCGAATCATTAGTCTAAGAAGTATAGAGTAAAATATAGTAATTGAATTCATTTAAAATAATTTGATACAAAAAATACATAAATCACATTAACAAAAGAAAATGAGAATCTCCGAAACAAGAAATCAGAGAGAAAAAAGATAAGAATGTATTCTATGCAAATATGATTTTACTGCATAAACAAATATGATAATAAACGCAAATTAGTCGGGAGAGAAGAAACCCTCTTTCTCAGCGTATCTTTATTTTCATCGGGAATTGAGTTACTAATGATAAATACCAAAATAATTAAGTACAGTTAAGAGGCCCCCTTTCTCTAGAGGTAGCGGTGTACCTTCCAAACTGAAGTGGCTCGTGATGGCGTCCAATTGGAACTGACAGATTTTGACAGACATGCCGAACCAGGCACATCGTGTTGATGTAATGTGCCGCTCTTGTAGGGAAATAGACAAGGCTTTTTACACGTGTTCTGTCAGTGTTTTTGGTCAGTCATGGGTGATAATTGTCGATTGACGGACGCCACCCACATGTACACTGAATGTATCTTATGATGAACCAAGTCGATAATGCATATTAGTTAGATAAGGTTATTATGCAGAAATTTGATGTCATGACTTGGCAGCTGATAAAAGGTCTTGATGCTATTTTCCAAGACAGAAGACAAAGATCCTTTGACCAAAATACAGTTTTGTGTGATCTTCAACGACTTTAATTTGATATTTTCAAAGGTGTTATTTTTACACTGACAGAATGAAAAGAAATATATAATTTAATCTGGAAACATACATGTAGTGCCGAATATGCATGGTAGCAAAAGTTTTGTTGCATATGTCCAGTTGATTAAAAAATACATAAATTCATTCTTTCATACTCGCGTAGAAATCGCATTTATAGATTGTACTACAGGTTTTTGATACAATGAAATACAATATATACACTGTACTTATGTTCCTTTATTACCAACAATATTTTTTGATTATTTTTATCATAAAAATCATTCAAATTAAGAATTTATAATATACATGTAATTCACTGCAATATTGTTTTAAATATGAATAGATACACGGCCATTAAAATATTATAAATAAAAAGAAACCGTAGAAAATGTGGTAAATATTTAGAATTCTAACGAAAATTATATGATTTGATAATTCAATGGACGTGGTTTGTATTCATGAAAATATTATTTTTAAAAAAAAGCTGTCTCAAAAAATAATCCTTAGGACAAACCTTTATCCAGTTACAAATTAAAAGTTCGAATGAATGCCATAGACATTCGATTTATTTTATAATCTGATATCTTTTACTTACCTGTAGTGTATTATCAACATACATGTTTCTAATATAAAATATTACTTCGGTTGACATTCTTTCATTCTGAATTGTAATTATCTTTTTTCTTTGAAAACGCCAATAACATTAATAAATCATAAAAGAAATGCGCTTATTTTATTTTGTTTAATGCAATTTTACATGCATAATAGACATCTTTTATTTTGTATCACAAATCACATTACATAAATAACATAAATCACCTTTTAAAGAGAAACAAGATATTCTTTAAGGTTCTGTAGTATTAATATTAGTTTGACAAGCGCATGAGTTGAAACTAATAGCCTTTACTTTTCAACACAAACTGTGTATTAAGCGAGAAAAAAAACCCAAAATGATGTCTCTAGATTCCCACAAACAGAACATATTTTGATATTTAGAAGCAAAAAAGTTAATATTTTGGCTAGTACTTTTATAGTTCAAACTGATTTCCTCAAAAAGGAAATAAAGAACTAAAAATCAAGGAAATCTGTAGCATGAAGTTTTGGCTTAAGGGCATGCATGTCTGAAAAACACATGTTTTGACAAATTGCAGTTGTACCACAATATTATTTAAAATGTTTCTCTTGTGTTATTCTATGTAAAATCAAGAAACCTAAAAGTTTTTGTGACCTGCTTTAGCACGGGATTAAGGAAAAGGACAAAAATATAGGCCAAAGACCTGCATATACGTAAGAAGAAAAATAATTACTGGAAGTCACAAATCTATAGTTCATTCAGAAATTAATTATAGAGTTAAACACAACTTTCTGAAGTTCGAAAAACAGTAAAATTGGTACACTAGTTACTACTATTATCTAGTGCTTCAGAAAAAAGACCCCACACAGGATCAACCTCTGCTATTTAGTTACTGACAGTCTACTGAAAATCGAGTCAATAACAAAGGTCTGCCATTCAGTGTCATTTCCTGACCTTTAATAGACCACTCAGTTGCCTGAATGGCGCAAATGTATACTATTCCTATGTGATGTGCTTACACGATACTGAGTATTCTATATTATGGTTTGTGTATCTTAACTATACTGTATTTAAAGTCGATTTGTTCTGTTGTTATAAACCCCTACATGATGGAAACTGTCTAAATTTATTTTATGTTATAAAATATTTTAAGTTATCATATCCTTAGTGTCAGGAAATCTTAATAATTTATTGATTGCCCCACAATGTGTTGTCTTCTATTACAAACTTAAAGAAACAAAAAGTGAAAATACTCAAACTTGGCTCCTTTTTCCGAACTGACCAATCTCAATACATGTCTTAATGATTACTCGAAGAAGATTGCATCTGAATTGTTGGTCTGTCCAAAACATAGCAAAAAATATATGAATGTATACTGTTACCAAGAAAAAAGAACTTATTTTGTGTGTTTTAAAAATAAACTTTCATAGTATTTTTTCAAAGTTTCTCGTTAACAAATAAGTACACAAGTAAACACTTTATGAAGTAGTTTATTTTAAATTTAAAAAAAGAACTCTGAACGGCATATTGTCAGTATCAAACAGTAAGGAAAAATACCTAGAATCCTTTACCCCGTTGTAATATGTCCTGCTTTGTTTTTAAAAAGTTAAACTTTGGTTTGAACATATTTTATTGTATAAATACTATACAAATGGTTTGAACACAAGTTCTAACAACTTACTAGGTCTCACCATACAACTGTCAATATATATACATAGGGAAAATAAGTGAAAAAGGAATATTGATGTACAAACATGTTTGTTAAATTGAAACATACATTTGTTACATATGATAAATATATAACTATATAGAGTGTAAGTGTTAGGCAGTAATAATTAATTAAATCTACCAGAATCTCTTATAAATTTTTGAACTGACTGAAAAATATATTTATTGATTTCTACATTTTGTGACTCATCTTCCCACAGAAGTAAGTGGCAATCAATAATGTTCAATTTAATATTTGGTTTCGTAAGACACAGTAAATCTCTGAATAGCTTTTCTCTAGCATATTGGTACTTATTGCAGACAAAGAAAAAATGATATGTTAAACTTTAAAAGTGTATTGTCAGATATGGTGTAAGAGGAAAACACTTTTATTACGTATTTATTCATAATTTAGATTCCTGATATTCTTTCCTTAAAATTCTTCATATCATTTAATTTTTTCCCAACTAAAAATACAAAAACGATTGATTGTGTTATAAGAAAAGTTTGCTAGACCATGCAGCTAAGAGAAGAAATTAAAAGAGGAAACTAAGACGCAGGAATGAATGAGAGAGGCATAAGAAGGAAAGGACACAAATAAAATTATATACTATGGACTTTGCATGGAAAGAAGGAATATGAGATACCCGGTAGTTTAAATACAGAGAATAAATAGAGAAAAATAATATATAATCGTAATTGGAACACAAAATGAAAATAAAGAATCGGAGAGAAAAGCAATAGGATAATGAAACGTTTTTTTAATGAAATATTGTTGAAAAAGGTTCGAAGGACATTAGTGCATTAGTTTCTTTTATTATACTCTAGTGATCAAAACAAAAGACCCAACACAGGATTAAATTTTGCCATCTACTGAGTAGTTAACTGAAACTCTACTAAAATGTGACTGAAGGACATCGCTTTACCATTCAATAACTTTTAAGTGACCATTCAGTTGATCCAATATTGCAAATTCACTACGTGTCCAATCACAATACTGTATATTCTATATAATGTTCATGTATTTTAACTGTATTTATATATGTAGCGTCTGTTCTGTTATTTTTTAAACTACATGTATGATGGAAACATTTTTTTTTTATTTTATTTTATTAAATGCAAATTTTGAAAGACATCACGTCTTTGGTGTCAGGAAATTTCAGTAATTTATTAATTGTCCCACAATGTTTTGTCTTCTATTACAAACTTAAAGAAACACAAATTAAAAATACTCAAAATTGGCTCCTTGAATTCCAAACTGACCAATCTCAATTCATGTTTCAATAATTACTCGTGGAAGATAGCATCTGAATTGTTATTGTGTCTGATACTTCGCAAAAAGAACATGCAGGATACTGGTTTAAGAAACTTATTTGGGGGGGGGGGTAAAAATTAATTTTTCAAAGTATTGTTTCAAAGTTTATCGTTAATTACTAAATAAATATGAACTGGTAATTTAATTTTAAATAAAATCAATAAACGGCATTTTGTATGTATCAAGCAGAAAGGAAAATACCTA